GCTGAGGCAGAGAGATGCTGCCAGCCGCTGCCATGACAAGCAAGATGTAAGGAAGGCCACGAGCCATGTGGCAACTTATAGACTAATAGACATGGGTTAATTTAAGATAGAAGAACTAGATAGCAAGAAGTCTGCCACAGCCATACAGTTTGTAAGTAATGTAAGTCTCTGTGTGTTTACTTGGTTGGGTCTAAGCGGCTGCGGGCCTGGCGGGTGAGAGAGATTTGTCCTGACCGCGGGTCAGGCAGGACCAGGAAAACTCTAGCAGCATCATACAGTTTCTAAAAGTCATAGCAGTTGGGTGGCTAACATCAGTGATTTCTTCCAGCTACTGACCTAGATGTGCCTTTCCGCTTCTGTCTGCCTCTCCCTGCCTTTCTCTGACCCTTGAGAACTGAGAACACATAGGTGTCACCAGGTCCTTCCTCGCCTAAGCCATGGCCTTCTTGAAACTACAACTGTTAGGCACAGGGTGTGTGCAGGACATAGACACGTACACACCACTGTGTCCGTCTTCCACTAAAGGAGAACGTAGTCACAGAACACGCACAGGACATCCTCTACTACATAAAATGCAGAAACAGACAGAAGAGACACCCTACATATAATGCAGATACAGACAGCAGAAGAGACACCCCAAAGAGATGCATATTGCCAGAGCCACATTTAGGGCAAAGATCCAAAAGTGGAGCCTTTGAGACGCCCAGCAGGTCAAGGCACTTGCAGCCAAGCCTGAGGACTTTGGCTGGACCTACCATGTGGAAGAAGAAAACCAACTCCCACCTGTTGTCCCCTGGCTTTTGTGCACATTCTGTGGCACACACAGACACACATAGACACATAAACAAAATAAATGTAAAAAAAAAATCTAAATGTTAAAAAACCTGCATGAGTGGAAAAATACAGTTAGAATATATGTACCCCAAATGTGAGATCCCATAATCACCCTTGCACCTTGTATTGATACTTTAGCAATAGCTGCTCTTACAGAAGGGGAGTAGATTCAGAAGGGAGTGGAGATAGGGAGGAATGGGGAGGATGAGAAGGAGGGGAAACCATAATCAGGATGTATTGTAGGAGAAAATAATCCATTTTCAATAAAAGGGAAAAATAGCTGCTCTTTTTGTTTCTTTTGCAGAATACACACACACACACACACACACACACACACACACACACACACACACACACTCGTTGACATCATGTTTGGTCAGTTTGTACATTTTAAGTGATTTCTCAAAAGTCTTCCTGCACACAGAAGTACCTATCAATTGCAGACACATTTTCAGATAACTACTCCCTTAAAACTAAGGTTTTGTTACAATTTCAGTCATTTGTGTGTTATTCTCAGGGATGAATGCTCCCAAATTATTACTAATCTGCAGGAAGATAGCAGGTATTAAAGCCTTACAGAAGGTCCATATCCATAAATGCGAAGGACACCCTGACTCCAAGAACGATGATAGTATTGTCTCCTTCAGCTCACCTCTCTCTCTGCTAAATCCCCGTGCTCCTTTCTCTGCTACTTGCAAAGCTAACTTTCTGCCATGTGCATCCTAACCACTAACATTCAAGCAGCACATTAAATAGATACATCAATGCACAGAAAACACATGTAGAAAGTTCTGGCCTCCTTGAGCTAAGACTTAATTTTGTAAAGCTTTTTTTTTTTTTTGGTTTTTTTGAGACAGGGTTTCTCTGTGTAGCTTTGCGCCTTTCCTGGATCTCACTCTGTAGACCAGGCTGGCCTCGAACTCACAGAGATCTGCCTGGCTCTGTCTCCCGAGTGCTGGGATTAAAGGCGTGCGCCACCACCGCCCGGCGCATTTTTTTTTTTAACTAAGTGTTGCCTTCTGTATAATTCTCATAGCTTTCATTACCTTTGGTTAATATCATGAGTCCGCGATATCTATTAAATCAATAGATTTAATTATATTTAAAAAAAAACTCAACTTCGGGGCTGGTGAAATGGCTCAGAGATAAAGGCACTTGCCATGCAAACCTGACGACCAGGTTTGATCCCCAGAACTCATGTAACATTAAAAGAAGAGAACAGACCCCACAAAGTTGTCTTCTGGCCCCCACACATTCGCCATGACATGTGCATGCCCCTGCCAAGACACATATCACACACACACACACACACACACACACACACACACACACACACACAGATGATAATACTACATTGTAGAAACCTCAACTTTCTTGTTGTCTAATCCACTTCATCGGTGTATTAAGGGAGACTGTAGTTAATCACTATTACCTGGTGTCTAAGTAAGGCTGCTCACTTGCCTCAGTTAGTCTGCATTGAGTCTCCCTTCCTGAGTGCTCTAACTGCTCATCTAAAGGCAGAAGATTGGCAAACACTCTCTAAGGGAATGCTATGGTATACAGACTAGTTAACTGCTTAACTGGAGGGGGAAGAGAGCTGGAGGAGAGGAGAAGATGGAGGAGGAGGAAGAGGAGAAGGGAGAGCAGGGGAAGGGAAGGGAAGGGAAGGGAAGGGAAGGGAAGGGAAGGGAAGGGAAGGGAAGGGAAGGGAAGGGAAGGGAAGGGAAGGGAAGGGAAGGGAAGGGGGAAGGAGGGGAGAAAAGGAAAGGAAACTCTCTTCTGAGTATGTACTTGGAGTTCCACCTCACAACCTAGTTATCGTTTACCCAATCTTCAATTCCTGTCTAAATATCATTCCTTCTGCACAACATACACACAGAGACAGAGACCGGAGACGGAGAGAGAATCCTCTAAACCCACAGGTCTTGACTGCCTGTACCCCAGAGATTTCAGGTCTTTGCAGTTATCCCAAAGCGTCACAGCAGCCTCGATTCTATGCTATCACCAGGATGCCTACTGCAGTCCCTCTGTAGGCCTAGCACGTGTGACACACAAATGTGCTGAGATAAATGACCGCTGAGTCATTACTTCCTCATTTCATGTCTCTCAATAAATATCTGGGGAGAAGGGGGGATGTCAAGTTTTTTTGGGGGGGAGAGGGGTTGTTGCTATTTTGTTTGATTGTTTTGCAATTAAATGCTGTTAGTGTTTTTTCTTATAAAAATTTTTTTCTCTAAAATTCAGATCAAAGATCTGTGAATAGGATGCAAGACAGGAGGGCTGGAATCTGACTCACTGGTAGAATACTAGCCTAGCATGTATGAGGTCATGAGTTCAATTCCCAGCACTATCAAAGGGGAAGAAAGATGCTAAGGTCAAGGACAATGAGGCAGGGCCCAATACAAAGGTTCTGATTTCAACATCTAGGAAATGATGCTGCTACACACCCAGGACAGCAAATTATCTTTCTGATTCTGTGCCAGCAAGATCCCTGACAGAGATCTGTGCCCGTTCAACGTAAGCCATTTCCAAATCTTAGCATCTGCCAAGCAGCACAGTTCCTATCAAGGCAGGAAGTAAGCTTACGGTGAAGAAACAGTTTCAATCCGATGGAAGTTTTCCTTTAGATAGTGTCAAATAGTAGATTTTCTCCATGGATTAGTTAATAGAAGTCAGTAAATAGAAGTTATCAGTAATGAGTATAAGCTGTGACTGTAGTCCACAGCCATTGGTGAGTTACTTTATTTATACCTTCTCATTTTTCTCAATGGAGTCCATATAATGCCAAGACTCTGTCTTCAGACTCTTCATGCAGTACAGTGGACAAAGACACTCATAAATGCTTCCTATACAAGGAGGGAGGTAGTCCATGCATGAGCAATGCATGCATACAGTACAGTGGACAAAGACACTCATAAATGCTTCCTACACAAGGAGGGAGGTAGTCCATGCATGAGCAATGCATGCATACAGTACAGTGGATTTCAAAAGGCTCTCTGGCAAAAATTATCTTCCTTTGTGTTATCCAGCTTGCTGTTGCATTAGCCTAAGCTCTGAGTGGCTGCATAATCCCTTATGAGTCTTTTCTCCTATAAGCTTGCTTTCTGGGGGACCAGCATATCTATGATGCCTGCTGTTCAGGACAAACAAGAAAAGCAGAAGGGGTCCTGGAGTCTGGAGTACACAGGAGGTACTAGGTATTAACAATTCCTGAAGTGATTCTGTGGCTTAGGAAAAGGGTTCCCATGATCCTTTCCCCACAATTGTGGAGGGAGGGAGTTCCTCTTAGGGCCCAGGTAGATAGAGTCTGAAGAATCCCAATTTTACAAGTCTCAGTTCTGCTGTTCTGTCACATTATTTCACCCCTCTTAAAAGCCTCGTCTGCTGACGGAGCGAGAGTAAAGGGAGAGGAAGAGAGTGGTCCCGTCCGTCAGTGTGGTGTCTGACACACTAAGTGCTTACTCCGTGCAAGCCACAGCCACGACACGACGTGTGACAGGCACGGGCAAAACTCGGAGCTGAAGACAAGGCTTCTTTCTAGCCAACTGGAAAAAGAGTTGGGGCCACTTTCTCTGGAGAATGAACCGGACAGGCACGGTCAATTCTATTCAGTTCTGTTTAATACACTTCTTGTTTTTGTTGCAAGTGTTACGTTAATTTAAAGTGGAAAAAAGATAATAAGCTGAATCATGTGTAAGTGACAGGTTTTGCCAGATAAGTCTAAAAATCTGTACATATACTTCTTTTTCTCTTTCTCCAAATACAGATAACTATCTTTAAAAAAAAGAGAGCGCAAATCATAAAGCTATTTTGTATCCTGCTTTTTCTTGCCACTGAGACATGGTCACCTCTTTTTTTCTAAGTGATATAATACCAATGCCATCATTTAACTATCTGATAATATACAGATGCAAAGAAAATTCATATATATATATAACTATTCATAAAATAGTTATTATTGGGATTGTAAGGATGTAGCTACGTACTCTGGGCTTGCCAATTTAGTTCTACCTTGGGAAATATCTAAGATCCCAGGGCTTCATTTTTGCCATCTCTACAATGAGAAATACACTCTTTATAAAGACTGTTGCATAGGTCAAATGAACAGATATATGAAAATGGGTTTCTGTATAGTAAAGAACTACATAAACGCTTATTCTCATCAAAGGTGCTGAACAGACACTCTCCTCCACAGAACGAAAACAAGAGGAAATTTGTTTGACACCCTGTTGATCAAATTAAGGTCAAGTATACCCTGTGGGACACCCAGGGCCCAGCCAGGACGGCTTCAGCCTCTTTAGTTGTCTTTTTTCTGTCTACTCTTCCTGCAGGGAGAAACCAGAACACGGTTCTGATATGAATTCAGTCCGTTTTTTCCTTAGAGGGACATGGGATCCAACGAAAATCATTTCTTTTGGGAAGCAGGGTAAGTCATCATCCACCTGCTCTACCTGCGGTATGTTTGTGAATGCCCAGATACTAAATGTCCGTCTCTTTAATGACCTTGAAAGGTTATAAAAGAAAGGAGGTCTGGCTGCCTTGGCAGGTACTAGTACACACCGAGCTTAATGTTAACGTATTTAGAACCTTCTAGAACCTCCACTTCTCTACCTCCTACCTTCTCAAGCCATAGAAACAAACCTACCTCCTTGAGGCATTAGTGGACTGGAGCTTTCAAGTGGGTTCTAACCTCCGGAGTGGAAGTGTTGAAGTAGACAACAGAGATTTCTAAAATTCTTGTATGTCCCACAAATCAGCTCTATAACTTAGATTACTTACAGAATTAAAGAGAGACTTGCCTTCCACTGTATCTTGTTTCGCCATGGATATCACACTCAGGTATGTGTTAGAGACAAGAAAGTATTTCAAACAACTTATTTTTTTTTTAAACTGACCGTTCATTAATATCACCTGGGAAGTAATAGCAATCAAAACACATTAAAGACTGGTTAATACCAGAAAATCTGTTTTTGGCTATTTGAGGGGTTGCATCATGAGATGCAAGTGATTCTGACTGAGGTGCAGCCCAAGCTGAAAAACGCTATGGGTGCTCCGAAGAGAACTGATTCCAAGTGCCCAGCCCTGCATACATGTTCACTTTCACTGTGCCTCTGAACAAAACCACTGAAATAGGCCTTCTCAAATATAACCCCTCTACCAAAAGCAAGACTTGGAGTAGAAAAAAATCTTATGGAATAAAATATATGCAAAATGGAAAAATTCTATGTGGCCCCAAAGAGGGAAATTTTTAGTGCCTTATATGGCAATTTGCAGTTATGATTGTGCAGAATTCATGGCAGTGTGGATAAAGCACAAGCTTTAATGGAAGGAAGGAATATAAACTTGTTCATATTTTATAGACACAACTATGAAAGGAAGCTAAAATCATATATGCAAACAACAACAACAACAAAAATGAAGAAAATCCTCCCCAACTACCAATCAAGTCTATCTTGTGGTTTTCTTCTTCCTTCTACAATTTTTGTACTTTTTTTTAGTCTAAAACATATGTGCTAGAACAAACATTAATAGTTGAGCAAATTAAGCTTACTTTCCATATGCCATTCCTCTAGGAACCATCAAAGCACAATTCTCAGTAGCAAATCGACCAACCAGACAACCTACCTGTGTGTCTGCCTTCAGCCGCCCTGCCGCCCTGCCGTCTGTCTGTCTCTGCCCTCACTCCTGGCTTTCTCCCCATAGAAGGCAGCTTGCTTGTTCATTTAAAGCAAAAGCGAAAGAGCAAACTATGTTTTATGAACAGTGTCAGCCAATAGCAGAAAAAGAAGGAACTTGGGTCAGCAGGTCCTCAGCTTTGTGGCGGGATCGTGGGAATGGGTGCTGGCTTCCTTCTCCCGAAGGCAGGGAATTTCCATTTAGTGGCTGTCTTACCAAGTCACCCAGGAATTGCCCTCCTCTAATGACTGTTTTTTGTTGGGGGTTTTCTTTTTCTTCTTTTTTTTTTTTTTAAATCATATGTGATGGGCAGAGAGCTGGAGGGTGGGGGGCGGGGCAGTTAAGTGGCTCTTATTTCTCCGAAAGGGTTTCTGTTTCCATGACAAGCCCATCAACACCGCTTTTTACATTCCGCGCTGCAGAATACTTTCGATAAAAACACTCTCACCACCCTCTGGCTTCCTCATGCACTCCGGCAAAGGCCTTACTCATGCTGCTAAAAAGTCTCTCTAAAGGTCACGGATGGTCCCATTGCTCGCGTCATGTGTTCCCCTTTTCCTTTTCCTCTTGCTTGAACTGTAAACTGTGCAAACTCTCTCAACAGGTTCTCAGTCCACCCAGTTCTTTCCCCAACTTTCAGCCTGATTCCCCTCTGCCTCCCTGTGATTGCTTGAATGAGAAATGCCCCCCAAAGGCTCAGGTATTTGAACTCTGGGTCCCCAGTGGGCGGTGCTGTTTGGGGAGGTGGTGTAGCCTTGCAGAGGAATCATGCCCCACCTCCCGTGGTGGAGTCTGAGAGTGTATAGCCTCACTCCAATTCCAATTTGCTCTCTTCTGCTTCAGGCTTGCAGTTAAAGATGTGATCTCTCAGCTTCCTGCTCAGGCTGCCTGCTGCGGAGCCTCCCAAGTCAGATGCACTTGCGCTCTGGAATCATAAACCCCAGGAAACTCCTTCTTCCTGAAGTTGCCTTTGGTCGTGGTATTTTATTATAGCAACAGAATACTAACTAATACACCTCCTTTTCAGATTCTTCCTTTGCTACTAATTTGCCAGGTTTGAGTTTTTCCTAAAGATTTGTCTTCTGATCTCTTTGTTTGCTCTTCTCTTGCCTATGTATAACTTATCCTCAGACATGACAAAATTTAATATGGCCCAGGGTCTTTGTCTCCCCAAGTCTTACTACCCCCCCAGCTTCCCCATCCATGCCAATGGCACCACAGTAAACCCCTCAGTTAATCCAACCAAAAAGTCAGAAGTTACTCAGTGCTTTTCTGTCTCCCACTCCCTACTCTCAGTGCATTCCATTGTCCTACCTGCAAAATATTTCCAATATCCCAACCCTGTTCAAACCCTTCTCGTTTTGTGAATGGCCAGCTGTAGAAATGGGCTATGACTATAAGCCAGTTGCAAAGTGTTTGCTTAGCATGTGCAAGGGCCTGGGTGTGATTCCACAAAGCAGAAAGAAGAAATAGAAAAGCAAAAGAAGGGAAAGAAAGTGCAGCTACACTGGAAAATAAAGGATTTTAATACACCTTTCAAAATTGGAATGAAGTAAAATTATGTTTGTAAATTATATCATCTTGTAGATAGACACAAAACACAAAACATGTTCAGACTAATAACCCAACAGAATAAGGTTGTGGGATACTAAGTCAACACACAGAGCAGCTGCATTTCTATACATTAGTGAATGACCAATCCAAAAAGGAAGCATTTCACTAATAAAGCATCAAGAAGAAAGAAGAAAAAAATACCAACTTAACAAGAAGGTGAAAGACATACACACTAATGGCTCCAAAACATACACACACACACACACACACACACACACACACACACACACCCCAAAAAAACCAAAGACAGAGTAAGTAGAAAGACATCTTATGCTCATGAATTAAAAGACTTAAAAATATTGCTAAGATTTTAATACAATATAAATTAATACAAAGAATTGCTGTGTTCTCTATCATAAGTGTGTGGATTTATGCCTGGGTGTTCAATTTAATTCCATTAATCAACATGTCTGTTTTTATGCCAATACCATGCTGTTTTTATTACCATAGCTCTGTAGTACAGTTTGAGGTTGAGAATAGTGATACCTCTAGCAGTTGTTTTATTATTCAGGATTGTTTTAGCTATACTGGGTTTTTTTGTGTTTCCATATGAAGCTGAAAATTGCCATATCAAGATCTGTGAAGAATTATGTTGGAATTTTGATGGGGATTGCATTGAATCTATAGATTGATTTTGGTAGGATGGCCATTTTTATTATATTAATCCTACTGATTCATGAGAATGTGAGATCTTCCTATCTTTATCATGTTGGAAGCACAGCAAGAAGATCCTTTTGTCCACAGATCACCAGGGAGACAAGGAATATTAAGCATGCAGGGATTATAGGAAAGATGTAAAACCTGTTCTTCTATCCAGAAAGCTGAGAATTGGAGGTGATTAATAGCCTAGTGATCTGCAGTATCTGTTGGGCCAGGACATGTCAAGCTCCTACAACCAGGACCAGAGTGGCCAATAGTCTAAATGACCTTTATGCTATCTATATGACTGAGACCAGGCCAGATCCTTCCCTTAAACTAGTACAGGTAGCCTATCTCCAGGGCCCATTTTCCTGGAAGAAATAACATGTGCCCTGAGTTGAGTTTTGTTGTAATTATGCCCTCTTGTACACAAGGGATGGTATTAACCATGAAACATTTTTTCCAAATTATACGGGTTTAAATATGGGGGCAATAAATCACTTGGCATCAGACTCCCTGATGTCTTGATCCAGGTTGATAAGGTCTATCTGAACCAAGTTTTCATTCTCACCTCTTTACTTTCCTGCCTGCCATAAACACCTGCAGGGTCCCCTTCAGGTGATGAAGGAGGGAATATGAGGAGAGACAGTTAAAATAAAGGGTCATTTCAGTGGTAGCATAGAGACTCAATATAGTAAAAGCTTCCTAAAATATATACATATGTATTTGTCAGAGTTCTCGAGAGGAACAGTACTTATAGAATGAATCTATATACATAAACTTGTGTGTGTGTGTGTGTGTGTGTGTGTGTGTGTGTGTGTGTGTATGTGATATCTATTAGAATGGCTTACAGACTATGGTCTGTAAAACAAGTCCCTCGAAATCAACAGGATAGATGCACACATAAACTCACAGAGACTGAGGCAGGCGTGCACAGGGCCTGCTCAGGTCCACACCAGATGGGATCCTAGAGCTGAAAGGAGAAGTGGACACATACTGCCATCCCTGACTCAGAAGCAATCTGCAGCTGATAACCACTTGCAAATGACAATTTAGTTTCCTTCAAGAGAGTCTCACCAGGGAAGCAAACTCCTCTTAAGGACAGGCTGCATGCCCAGCAGTGGGTGGCCAAATGAAAACAAACTCAGTGGCATCTTTGGAGGTTCTTGTCTCATAATGTCATACCAGGGATTTTTTTTTTATCTATTTTGTTTTGTTTTGTTTGTATTTTTTCCCTCTTTTTACCCTGCAGGTCCTTAACATACCTATCATGGCTTCCAGTTTAGTGTTCTTGCAGGTTTCTTGAGTAAGCAAATGAGTAATCCTTTGCATCTATATCTGTTTCTTGTTTTCTCTTGGGCTCTTTTTTCCTTTGGTTTGTCCTATTCCAATGTATTTGGTTTTGTTTTATCCTGTCATATTTACTATATATTTATTATTATCCTTTAGAACCCTATTTTTTTTTCTAATGAAAGACAGAAAGAGGGTAGATACGGAAAGGAGAGGAGGTTGGAAGGAACTGGGAAGGGTAAAGGGATTGGAAACTGTAATCAGGATATATTATGTGAGAGGAAAAAAAGCCTGTTTTCAATAAATGGGAAAAAAAGATGCCATAATAACTTCATTATCACTGTTTATTAGGGAGCTGCAAGTCAAAACTACAGTAAGATACTACTTTGTACCCATCAACTATTACTTTAAAACAAATCAAAATACCAAATGTTGGCACACATATGAAGAAATTGGAACTTGAGCTCGCTGGTAGATCATAAGACAGTATATCTACTACTAAGAACAGGTTAGTGATTTCTTTTTTTTTTTTTTTTTTTTTTTTTTTTTTTTTTTTTTTTTTTTTTTTTTTTTGGTTTTTCGAGACAGGGTTTCTCTGTGTAGCTTTGCGCCTTTCCTGGAACTCACTTGGTAGTCCAGGCTGGCCTCGAACTCACAGAGATCCGCCTGGCTCTGCCTCCCGAGTGCTGGGATTAAAGGCGTGCGCCACCACCGCCCGGCTAGGTTAGTGATTTCTTAAAAGGAAAATAGAATACCATATTACCTCCACAGACTTTTAGGCCCCTTGGACAGAAGGAGCTAAATGAGGACCCCACAAGGGTCAAAAATATTTAGCTCCAGAGTAAGTCCACATCTGACTTATTTGGCTCTGTGCCAAATGGAACTACTCATTTCTTTCAGGAACAAAACAAACAAAACAGTATTTTAGGCCTGAGAGAGGATGAAAATAAAACATCAAAGAGTTCAGTTGTGTTGGGTAGAGCTAGAAAGCACTTACTTAGAAAATAAACCAAAATAACTGTGTTTATTATGTTTCTATAGCCCCCCTTACGGGAATGAGACCAGGGCATGGACATCAAGGACCCCCAACCTCTCTTCACTGGACATCTGGAAAAATGGACACCCAACCACCGGACCAGTTCATGTGAATGCAACGTCACCACAGGCCTAGAACCCAGGGTGGTGACTAAATGGCTTTCCCACAAGCTACCATGCTGCCATCCTACCCCACTCTCCTCCACCTCAGCTCGGGCTCTACCGTCACCTAACCCAGGCTCTCCTCCAACCCTTAAAACCACTCATCACAGCACCCAGTCCCATCCGTTCCCCGCCACTGTTGCCGAGAGACGAAGCAAAGAAGCCTTCCTTACTCTGCCTACCTGGAGCTCCCTCAGCCATTCCAAACCTTGAAAGTTGGGGGAATGAAAAGACATCTCTTTGGAAGTTCCAGGCTGCTGGTGCTGTGATGACGGAAAAGAGGAGGCTCCTGGAAATATAATAAACATGTCGCAAAGCTCTCTGGTAATGGTTATGGCAAGGACAACGCAGGAGCTTTTCAGCACCATGTACCTTCTTCATAGAGCCTCAGGAAAGGGGCTGGAGTCAAGGCTGCCACTCTGAGAACAAGGTCCCCCCTGGACCTAGGGACTCGTTAACAGTTGATTATCCCATTTGGAAACTCATAGTCTGTACATTTACCAGGAAGTGGGGAGAAAGAGCAAAGACATTTAAGAAATACTTAACTCTGTAATAATCACTAGCCTAGAGGCTTTTATTCCTGTAATAAAAGTCCAGTAAACTGACTGATAACCATTTGAGTAGAATAAAGTAAAAAAACAAAAAAAAAAAATTCCAGCTCTCTCTCCCCAGAGCTCCCTCCTGCACATGTGTGTTGAGAGTGTATATAAGAAAGATAAGGTGGAAATGCCTCTTTCTGTTTTCCCTCTGAACTGGTAAACCAGGAAAAAGGTGAAGACCCCTGACTCAAGCTGGTTTACTTTTATGTAGTCCTAGCTGCCCTGAAACTCACTCTGTAGACAAAGCTAGCCTCAAACTCAAGAGATCCACCTGCCTCTGCCTCCCCAGTGCTGGGATTTAAGGCATGAGCCACCATGACCAGCTTTCATGCTGGTTTACAATGATGCAGGTAGGGTATGTATTCACTAGAAATTGAACTTGGAATTTTGAATTTGGTCTTTCTTGGCCTACCCATCCACTATCCGATCTTCAGTCTCCACAGCGGACCAAGCTGTTGCTCCCAGGGAGCCCTCTGATCATGGGGACAAACAACAGACTCTGTTAGTTGAAGTAAAGGCATTTTCAACTTAGAACAAGACTATCTGGGAAAGCCCTTCACAGTCAAGTAGACTCTGCCCTTTTAGGATGACCCAGCACCTTTAAGTACTGTAAGGTAAAAATCTTCACTAACAAGTACCTCTCCCAGTTTGGTCTCTGTTTTTGTGATAAACACCAGGATCAAACTTCAACCTAGGGAGAAAAAGGTTTATTTGCCTTATACTTCCACATCACAGTCCACCATTGAGGGAAATCCAGTCAGGAACTTAAGAGAGAAAATGGGAGGCAGAAATTGAAGCAGAGGCCTCTGGGAGTGGGGGCAGTGCTTACTGGCTTGTTCCCCACAGCCTCCTGAGCCTGCTTTGTTAAACCCCCCTCCCCCAGGACCACCTACCCTGGGGTGGTACCACCCATAGTGGCTGGACCTCCATTATCAGTCATTAATCAGGGAAATGCCCCCACAGGCTTCTTACCAGCAATCTGATGGAGGCCACCCCTCAATTAAGTCACCTCTTCCCAGATGACTCTAGTTTGTGTCAAGTTGGCAAAAAAACAAAAAAAAACTCACCAAGACAGAAGAGTTACTTATATAGTGTTACACGCTATGACACATAATGATTTCCTGCTGTGACAATTTGGCCAGAGCAATCAGTTGTTCCCTTTAAAGAGACAGAGAGAGACTGAAAGAGGGGCTTTTCATTTTGTTTTGTCTTATTTTGGTTTTGGTGGTACTGGGGAGAGAACCCACATGCTAGGCAAGCACCGGTGCCCACTCGAACACTAACTCCAAAGGAGTTTCACGTAACCAAAACAGCATTCCTTGAGGGAGTAGGCCATACCAGGGCGTGACTTAGAAATTTTAGGCGGAGCATGTTTCCTGGAGGACACACATCTTACAAAGTCTCTAATCATAATCCCAAAGGCTCTACCCCAAACTCCCAGCAACATGCAAATTAGGGAAATGAACTTTGCAGCGCATGAGTTTTGAGGGACCTACTCAAGCCACAGCAGTAGCATTCCAGAAAAGAACCACACAACGAGAACCTCAGCGGAATACACACTGTGGAAAACACGCTAAACGCACCACCTCAGTTCCAAACCCACACTCACTCATCAGCCCCTTTTGGTTTCTTCAGGTTCTTACTGTGAGGTCACGAGCCCTATTACCAGAACCCCGTTATCCGGTCTGCTCCTGAGAGTCTAAGTCTTCGGTCCAAACAGCTGAGTCCTTCAACTTCCACTTCTGTGGCCCTCACCTTAAGTGCGGGGTAAGAACAAGAAGAACTGGACCAAAGCTCTGGGAGACACACAGAGACCCCCTCCACAGACTTCTGCCTACTGAGAGCCTTCCATTCTCTGGAAATGGGGGGGGGGGAGGAAAAATGGACACAAGATAATTAAGACCAGTTCCTGAACTCAAGGGATCTCTGAGGCAAGCATCTTTTCTTTGCGTGTAAACTAATCATAGTCACATCCCCCAAAAGACAACATGTGGGTGGGTACACGTCCCTGCAGACACTTTGATGTCCTGTCATTTGTTCATTTAATGCTTCCTCTGGTTGACATAAATTTGCATGCAGCTTTTCCCCATCTACTTCGTAACACAAACATTTCCCATGTCATCATAAATATTTTAGTGAATCACATATTCGACATGCCAAAGTTAGAAAAACAAACTGCTTTCGTGGTTAAACTTCCCTCCATCCATGAAGCTTACCCCAACTTGAGGCCAATGGAGTGTGTGGGTAACTCTAGGCTGCCTTTAGGAATAGAGAGCAAGCTTGCAGTCAGGTGGAACACGGCAGCTGAAGGAAGAGCTCAAGAAGAGTAACGACACAAACCCAAAAGTCGCTTCTCATCGCTCTAACCGTGTATCCGACATAAACTTACAGTAGGAAGCCACTGAGGGTCTCAAAGCTCTCAGTTCCTCATGGTGGAGAAGACGCCCTGCGGTGGTGGCGCACACCTTTAATCCCAGCATTCGGGCGGCAGAGGCAGGAAGATCTCTGTGAGTTCAAGGCCAGCCTGGGCTACAGAGTGAGTTCCAGGACGGCCAGAGCTGTTACACAGAGAAACCCTGTCTTGAAAAACCAAACAAACATGGTGGAGAGGGCAGGGTAAAACAGCACCACTCAGTTGGGACCGAGAGAAAGAGGGATGACGGCGAATCCTCTGGATTTCTCCTTCCCCACTTCTCCAGTGTCCAAATCACAGCCCATGAGATTCACCACCCACATTCAGGGTGGGTCCTTCCTCTTGTTAACCCATCCACACACCCAGAGATGTGCTTCAGTCTAGGTGGTTCTAGATCCAGTCCAGCCAACGGTGAAGATAAACTATGCCGTATTCTCCATTCTCTGTTTGCTCTGGATTGGAGCTGAATTTGGAACCAGAATTTTAAACACAAGTACAGGTGACAGGAAGAGGACCCTTTCCAGTAACACACCCAGTAGGCAGTCTTGGCCCCAGAGCACCCCGGGTGAATCCTTTCCAGGGATTTCCTCCCAGCTATAGGCAGAAAACGTGTGGTCCACATTGCCAACAGACTTCTCTCTGGGTTTCAACCTGCCCGTGCATGGAGGCGGCAATCACAATGGCATCAGGGATGACAGCTGAGGTACATTTGCTGTCTGTCATCCCCTGCCATCTGTAGATAGAGTGAACAAAAAAAATCTGGGGATTTGGAGACATGGGGAGGTGTGGGAAAATTTAGGGACATGGGCAAGTGAGGAAGTGATAGACTGAAAACAAATTACCACCTAAATGAAGACTTTCTGCCCAAAAAGGACTTCATTTGGTACTTCTCCCATAGAGAGGGGAGTGGTCCAGAGCCTGGGTCTGTTTGCTATCAGCTCACTTCTTCACCTGTCCTTATTCCTCTGTGTGTGTGTGTGTGTGTGTGTGTGTGTGTGTGTGTGTGTGTGTCTCCATCTCTGTGTCTCTGTCTCTGCCTCCCTCTCTCTGTGTCTCTCCCTCTGTCTCTCTCTGTGTGTCTCTGTCTCTGTCTCTCTGTGGGGGGGGGTAAGGTGAGGGCACCCCTAAAACTCAGACTCTCGTGTTGACTCAGCTTCTAGCTGTACTGGGCATAGATGGGAAGAGAGAAGTAGAAGAAAATGAGCAAAACACGGAGTGCTGGCTCCACCGGCTCCGATGACAGCATTTCTGGGGACATCTGTGTGTCCTCTGTGGCTCTGAATACTGCCCAGCTGGCCAGCCACAGCCCCACTGTGGGAACTGAGGAGCAGGCTGCTCTGATGATCTCCCAGTCACAGGAGGAGCCCTTGTTCACCACAGTCAAATACTCCACCAGCCACAGGGTGCCTTCCTGTGCCAGCCTCAAGCTACATACCTTGTTACATGTGTTGCCATGTCATGTGCACCCGACAGTGTCTCATTTGACCATATGTAAATAATGAAGGACCTATGTAAGTAAAATGGCTTCTGTCATTAGAAAATACTAATGATATGAACCATAGATCCCACTGACATTTAGACTCATCTCACCATATTAGGAAATTTCTAATTACTGGAAAAGAAAAAACAAAATTGTGACACCCCTTAGCATTGTTGAGCATTTAAATAATGCTTGTACTAATCTGACACTTACATTTATGCCATAGTTAAGTAAATCCCTGAAACAGGAACTGTGAATCCCTCTTAAACTGGGAGTGTGCAATACAATGCCCCCCCCCAATAGTTCAAGAAAACAATATCAGAAAATGTATCATGCATTTGAGGTTTAAACATATTTTCATAGTGATCTTAATAGCTGGAGGCTTCACCGTTCCATAGAGCTAAGGAAATTGCATTATTTCTCCTAAGTCACTAGGGAGGTCCTAGCACCAAGCCACTCAGGAACGATGTGGACAGAGCAATCCACTGTGCTCTTCACACATGAGCCATGAGACGCCCACTGGTGACAGAACAGGGTGCATGTAGTGCTTCCATCTGCTCTGGAGAGGAGGGGGCCAGGTGTTGTGTACGAAGAAGGCTCTGCCGGGTGGGCCAGTCTGGGTTCTGTTCAGGTGGGGTCCAGCAAGAGCTACAGAAGTTCAAATCAGTGAGCACCCTGCTGCAGCTAAGGCACTCTGACATCTTGGTTTCCCACACTGCAGTGGGGGATGGTGCTTATCACTTCCTTCCCCTGGTACACACCAAACACACCCCATCCCTGGTTTTGAACATGCTGACTCATTAGGAGCCTAGAAGTATGGAACCCCGGAGAGCTAGAAGGTGTTTCAAGAAGCCAGCTCAGTGTAGTTTTTATGTCATTTTTGAACTATATAGTCTTCCCTTTCTGTATAAAGTGACAGGAAAAAAAATGAAGTTTTTCTTTAAGGGTTGGAACCAGAACATCTTACGTGTTTTACGTATCCATTATCTACACTGTGATTTGTGCATAGTATGCACTCAGTAAATATTTGTTGTGAATAAATAAAAGAATGAAATCGAGGGGCTGGAGAGATGACCCAGCATTTAAGAGGACCCAGGTTCAATTCCCA